TCATTTATGTTCATCATCGACTTTAACATAGAGTAATTCGACCAAAGCGTTGACGATTTCCATATTTTGGACTTTTCTTCAAAGTATGCAAGAAGCACTTTTTCACTGGCCTCCTTTCCACTGACATTTTTCTGATCACACCATTTCAAGAAACGTTCGTATGAAAACTCGTACTGTCGTTTGACTTACTAGGCAATAATTCAAAAACAGCTTTATTGGCAGCTTCTTCAATTTGCGGCGGAAGAAAATACGAAAAAACGAGAAAGAATAATTCGTCATTTATTGACGTTACTTGTCAAGAAAGATGAATCAACAAATTCAGTTTATGTTTACCTTGGTAACTTGTTTCATGAATAGATTAGATTGAATTGAATTCAAAACTGATAATCTCGAGGCTGTTATTTAATCAATTAATAAGTAATGTAAAATAGTTATGCGTTCATTTGGACTTTTAATGGTGTTTGTAGAAAAAATAGTGTATGATATATGTGCTAAAGTGTTTCTTCTTTTGTTCGAAGGGATGGAACACTCCGCCTTCGGCGTCGAGTCCCAAACTTCCCTTCTCACAAAATAAAATGTCACTTTTAGCACTTATATCATAAATAACTATTTTTCTTTCTATTTACTCTGAGGTTGCAACGTTTTTTTAGGCACTCGATGGCAATTAACATATTTATGGGCAAGTTTATGTCTTGAAAATTAGAGGGATGGTTCAATTTCTCAGTTACCACTAAACATATCTTAATAGTCAATATACCAGTCCTGTGAAGTAAAGAATACCTTTTCAGTCCTGAAATTTTCCAATAAATATGAATTTGTTGACGGGTGTCTTTAAGAGTATATGTACTATGTATGTACTAGTAATCTTGCTTTATGCAACAGACTAAAATTCTAACGATTATACCAGGCGATCTACTCAATAAAACTCGTGAATTTTTATTACCTAATTGAAACTAACGTTTGTCAGCTTTTTATTATTATTTTAAATTTATATTATTATATTAATTGTTAGTTAGAGTGAATCATCTTGATTGGGCCACTTGGTACCTATCCTGCTATAAAAATGAGCTTTAAATCGAATGTTTGTCGGTTTATCTATTGAATTTGGTGATTGTTTTGAATAGCAATATCAGCTTCAATATTCTAAGAAATTTATTAGAGAATAGATAACAAATTTCCGATTCCTTGGGCGTGCATATACCCATAGTATAAGAGAAACCTTATAATTTGGTGTAAAAATGCATTCAGATTGGGATAGCAGCTGTTCAAATGTAGTTTTCCTCTGATATCTAGTAGGAAGTTATTTTAAATTAAATTAAAATGCATTTACGTTTGTGTGATAATAAGTAGAATCAATAAGTCTTCGAAAACATATTCAAATCGGAATATTGAATTAATGTGATGTGATGAAATCAAACTAAAGTATGCCAAATGTATATGAGTATTTGCAAATAACCATGAATATTTATAGAAACAATTAATTTTTATAAAACTTGTTTCTTGTATTGCCTGTAAACAAAAATTCGTAATTTATTTGCCACTATTTATTTCATATCTAATGGAAATCTTATTTATTTGTCATCCCGTTTTTTACCCAGCTATTTTTATACATATAACATGTTCAAATTATGATTAAACATTTATACTTTTACAATGTTTTTTATTTATAAATTTGATAGTTATGTACCAAGGACAAAACACTGTCTATTATAGTCCTGTCTACAAATTGCTAGGACTTTGCCGAGGCTAGCAATCAGACGAGGCAATATACAGTTTTTTGCCGAGGTGCATATTAAATTTTTTCGTCGACGTCAAACACTTTCATTCACATCACGGTCCTATTCACACGGGAATGGGCTTATATCACAAAAAAATGTTCATTTCATAATTCGATAGAACTCACCCAAACTAGCTCACCATCGCAAACCGTTTCTTGCTGTGAGCTCCCTACGTTTTATAAAAAATTATTGAAATCCCCGATTTTTCGGACCTCTGAAAACAAGGCGATGATATTACGTCAAAACCCTAATATTGAAACAAGACTATTCCAGACAGCGATGAATGATACATGATTTCTAACAAAGCATCAAGATTGGTGAATCGGCAAGTTGATTTTTGGGACAAAGATATTAAGAACAAGACGAAGATCAATTCTAACCTATATTGACTTCTTGCAGCTCCATGTAAAACGGGTCAACAAAGCAATGTAGCTGCGTTTATGAAATATATTGGATTATTGTGAAATCTTAATGGTGCGAATGGTTTTGAGATTGAGACATTTCGTTGTCTAGAGATTGTTTATATTCCAATGATTCAACCTGCAATCGACAACTTGAATATATTTTTCTGCAGTAGTGGTAGTGGATATCAAAATATATTTCAATATCGATTTCGATCTCTCGGATATTTTGTTTGTATGATATGGCAACAGTGATGTGTCAGTTTTAACTATGGCGAGATGAGGTTTCTACGTCATAAGTGGGTCCGTTTTCAGAAGGTACTATCATTCATGTCCAAAAATAAAACATTTCAGTTAATTTTTCGATCGAATTATGTCGTCAATCATTATTTATGTATAAAAGGATCATTATAAACAGGGTTTGAGTTGAAAGTTCTACTAAGGTGTACACGCCCATTCTATCGGATTTCGTGAATAATTTATTTGACAACAGCCAATGACAGATGTTGTCAACTCACTCTCCGCGCGGACCAGGGTTGCCAGTTCGATTTTTATTCCATCAGTACATACCTTGCCAAAAATTCAGTAGATTTCAATAGATGTTCAAGGTCTACTTTCTATACGAATTCCAAGAAAGGATGATGAAATATACCTATGACGTCAAAACATTATGTACTTTTAGTAAACAGAAAAGTAACCAATTTCCAACAAAATTGATATACAACCCTAATTCTCAATTCAAAAATACTCACAAATATCTGGCATAAGGTACTTATAAGATTTGAGTACATAAAAAATATGAACGAATACTAAAAATGAACAAAAATACAAAACAATCATTTCATTTGATTCTTTGGGATTTTCTCCTCGTTTCTATGAAATGAAAATATTCGTATTATTTCAATATATTTGTAGTGGGACAAATCAGATGATTTGCCCCAAAATGTCACTGCGTTTAACAAATTTTTCTATCATGGAGTCTAAAAGAAAAATCCAGTAGCTTGTCAGTGACAATTTGTTTGGGAAAAATGTTTGAAGGAAAGAAATATAGAATATTTACTTACTTTGGACGTTTCGGGACTGAATCTGCTCCCGTTCTCAACATGTGAATGCAAAATATTTTTCTTTGAAAATTGTGCTGCTTATAGTTTGACACTTTTCAGTGTCTAATCTACGAGACAAACTGGAAATTAAGTTGCTTATCGTTTCCTTTGGTATACCATTTCTGCGAGACTTTCCGGAGACCTCTCACGAGAACGTACCCTTCTCCCTAATTCATGCCACAAATGTTCTATAGGATTCATATCGGGGCTTCTCGCAGGCCATTGTAATGTGGTAATACCAGTAGCTTCTAAGAAGTTTCGCACTTCTGCTGCGGTGTGTGGTGGGGTATTATCCTGCATCAATATAAAATTATTGCCCACTAACTCTGCATAAGGTAAGACATACTGCTCTAAAATGTCAATGTAAATTTGGGCATTCATATCGACAGCCTCACCGGAAAAACATGAAGGGGTGTCTTTCCATTCATTGAAATCCCTCCCCACACCATAACGGACCCACCATTAAAACTTTCGCATACGGTTCACCAGTTCTTCTCCACACTTTTTTTCTTCCATCCAACATGTTAAGGAAAACCTTGACTCATCCGTAAACAAGACATTCGACCATCCAGGAATATTCCACTGTCCATAATTTTCAACAAAATTTCTTCTAGCAGCGCGATGTTCGGGCAATAATTTGGGACCTTTTGCAGGTCTCCTAGCTTTTAAATTAACTTCTTTTAGACGTCTACATACCGTCTGCTTACTTACTGCAACATCACGAATTTGGCGAAGATCTTGCTGAACATTTACCGCAGTATTTGATCGATTCCGTAAAATCCGCAATCTCAAGAAGCGATCATCTCTTGGAGAAGTTTCTCGGGGGCGACCAGAACCGACCCTCCGAGCGGTGCTTCCTGTTTGTTCGTACTTGCGGATTGCTCTACGAGCAGTTGCTTCCTGAACTCCCACTGCACGAGCGGCGTAACGTTTACTACGCCCATCGTTTACTAACGCAACTAATCTTGCTACTTGTTCAGGATCTATTTGAGGCATTTTATGTAATTTTAGTCAATAAAACAAGACACTTAATTATTGACACAACGACAAATGGTCAAATATGGAGGCATATAACAATTCAGTTGCTATGGCAACGGCATTTGTGTTTTTTTAAGACAATGTGATCCTACCAGAGTACAAACCAATCAATTTTGAGTACTCAGATCCTTCAATGAATTTAATTTGTGGGATAAGCGTAAGGTATCAGCAAAAAAGCTCTAATTCGGAAAATTTTAGAGATAAATCAATGAATAAAAAAGCAAAATGCTCGCAAAAAAAGCATCTTTTGTATAGGGTGTAAGCACTTTGTATACCATTACTCAATTAACACACAGGGTGAGTCAAAAATTAAGAATAAATCATGGTTCAAGTTATTCCACCAGGAAAAACTCTTTCATTGATTAGTGGTTTGTAAATATAAAATGTCTGATCATAAGAATGTAACCTCTCTCCCAAAATATACCCCCTTCCCGTTCCATAAATCAACACCAGCGTTCATCTGGCGGACAAACACGTCAGAATCGCTGGTTTCAAGGTCTCTACCAGTTTGACACAATCAGCAACGAGACATGCCTTATACTTACTGAGATGATCATGGAAAAAGAACATGCTTGAAGATCCACTATATCCTTTTGAAAAAATTCAATCTTCATGTATTCTTGTGTGAAACTTTCTTGCAGGTACTGTACTGTAGAAGTCATAAAAAAATAAAGATTGTTCAAATAGATAAACTCTTTTATTGATTAGTGGTTAGTAAATATAAAATGTCTGATCATAAAAATTTAACCTCTCTCCCAAAATATACCCTTCCCATTTCATGAATCAATATCACCGTTTATCTAGTGGACAAACACTTCAGAATCGCTGGCTTCAGGGTCTCTTCCAGTTTGACGCAATCGGCAGCAAACTTCCTGATTCCCTCCGACAGCTTATCCGTCGCCATCTGGTCCTCGTTCAGCATCCATCTGAAAGTGGCTTCCGTGAGCTCGACCTTCTCCAAATTCAGTTTGTTTGCCGACTCCTTGCTCAGTTTCTTCGGAACGGGGTCGTTGCTGCTCTCCAATTCGCCGAGCAGCTTGGGGCTGATCGTCAAGAGGTCGCAGCCGGCCAGAGCTTTCACTTCACCTGATGAAATAATGATAATAATAATTATAAATGATTTTATTGAGTCAGCATAAATGTACAACAAGTATTATTCTACATATACAGTCTGTCCAAGATAAGGTTGAACAGCATGGGGATCTCGGAAACGGTAGGAGATACAAAGTCGCTTAAATGGGGAAAAAGTTGCGCATTCGGAGGCTCATATCAAGAGCCTTCGAAAATTTTGAAAATTATATTTAGTTTTTGAGTTATATCGAAAAAAGTGAATTTTTGAAATTTCTATTTTATTTTTCTTTTCTCCGTTATTATCAGAGATACAGAAAAACTGAAAATACTTTTTCATTGCAACTTTTGATGAGGTTTAACGTGGTGATACCGATTTTTAAATACGGTCCTGATAATTTTTTCACAGATTCTGAAAGGTTTTTTTATTCTGAATTCAACAATGTACTATACAAGGTGATTCGAATGTGTTTCGACCTATTTCTATCCATCATCAATGTTTTTTCGAACTTCCAAAAGAAAAAAAGCCATCAGTTCCACTTATTTCTTATCATTTAGTGTCAAACTTGATGGATTAGTTATTCAATACTGAAAAGTGAATAAAAAATATTTCACTACATCATTCGATCAATGCAGCGTTTAAAATTGTTGATGAATTCTTACACGAATTACTTTAACAACTTAACTTTGACAATACCTACAGAGACATTCATAACAAATGTTCAAAATGATAACCATTATTTTCTGAACAAAGATATCCTCTTCTCACAGTTGTTTCTAAGACATTGCTAAGCATTTCTGGGGTTATTCTATTGAATGCTTCGAAGACACTGTCCCTTAGTTCTTCTTCATCCTCAAAGTTATTTGCGTGTACAAAGTTCGATATATCCCCTAAGAAAAAATCCAGCTGTGTTAAATCAGGCGACCGCGCCGGCCAAGGGATAAAAACGCACGGACTTTTCTGGAATTATGTACCGGAGCGCCATCTTGTTGAAACCAACAGAGTTCTGAACTTCCGCAATCGGTAAATCATCCAGAGCTTCCTCAAGATGATTCTCAAGCGAATTTCTATAACGTTCGGAAGTCTGTGTTTCATGGTAAATAGAAGGAACAATAATTCGTGTACCAAATATCGCAACCCACATATTAAAGCCGAAACGGTGTTGGTGTCTCGCTGTAATGTATAAATGTTCATTTTCTCGTGAACAATAATGTGTATTTTTTCTATCGAAGCTACCATGATTAGTGACCATGCTTTCATCAGTCCAGATGATTGTTCGAAAGAAATCTGCAAAATTTTAACATTTCCTGGTATACCACTCACAGGATGTCTTGCGCCTTTCGTCATCTCCTGGTTTTAGCGCTTGACATATTCTGAATTTGTATGGATGGAATTTTTGTTTCCGCAAAATGAAATGGGTTGTTGATTGAAACCAGTTGATGAGGTATTAGTGTGTTGACTAATTTTCCTTCAAAATAAGTGGAACTGATGGCATTTTTCCTTTGGAGTTTCGAAAAAACATTGATGATGGATGGAAATAGGTCGAAACACAAATGAACCACCTTGTATAATACATGGTTGAATTCAGAATAAAAAAACCTTTTAGAATCTGTGAAAAAATTATCAGGACCGTATTTAAAAAACAAAAGTTGATGATGGTTCCACGAATACGAAACGTCGCATGAAAAAATCGGTATCAACACGTTGACCGTCATCAAAAGTTGCTATGAAAAAGTATTCTCAGTTTTGCTGTATCTCTAATAATAACGGAGAAAAGAAAAATAAAATAGAAATTCCAAAAATTCACTTTTTTCGATATAACTCAAAAACTAAAAATAATTTTCAAAATTTTCGAAAGCTCTTGATATGAGCCTCCGAATGCGCAACTTTTTCCCCATTTAACCGATTTCGTATCTCTTACCGTTTTCGAGATCCCCATGCTGTTCAACCTTATCTTGGACAGACTGTATGTTCCTCAAACGGCAGAGTTCAATTTCACAATTAGACCGCAAATTGCTCTTCCATTCAACCGTAATAAGGAGTTCATCCATTGATATGAATGAGCTCCTTCCTAGTCTAAATATGTATGTACATTTTCCTAGATAGTTATGATATTATTCTATATACACTTATTATATTATTGAAAAGGTGCAGGCAAGTTCTATTTTTTCAAATTGAAGTGGGGGTTTATGGATAGGTAGTGTTAACGAACCTTTATGTCGAAGATTCAGATTATGAACATCTATCTGTCCTAAATTTTATTTTTCTGTGAAGGTATTTTGGTTTCTGTGAGATTATTATTTTCTTAAAAAATAATGAGGAACGTAGAAGCCTTCTATTCTTCAAGCTGAACCATCCGATATCCCTTAGATTATCCGAAACATGATCTCGTCTGCTCAAGCCACATATGAATGGGACGAATGGACGAATTTTGCATTTTGCAATTTCTGAATATGAAAGCTATCAGTACTAGTTAGGGCAGGGTCATAAACAACATCTGCATAGTTGAGATGAGACAGCACCAGAGCTCCACACAGGATAATTATCAGTTTTCTGCTTAGAATGGACCGATTAGCATAAAGGTTTTTCAGATTGCCAAAGCCACATGAGATTTGAACTTGAGTGAGCTATCGAGAACAACACCTAATCGAGAACAACACCAACATTTTTCGCACTGTCACTTACAGAAATCTGCATGTTATCAGCCACAATATTGTAATATACACTGCTCGCCAACAGCCATGGAACCACCCCAATTTCCGGAAAATGATATTCGGAGTCAAAATAGGTTGAAAATCACTTCGGATTCGAAATTAGGACGCCTAATTCAGTAACTATTTATAGTTTTCCTACAAAATTTTCAGTTCAGAGAAATTAAATTTTGTCTCACTTCTCATGGAAGCACCCCCGTATCTCACGTTATTTGGGTAGGGTTCTGAAATTTGCAGGAGGAAGGGAAAGTCGAAAGATAATAGTCATTTACATAAGATACGGAGGTGCTTCTGTAAAAAGTGCGACAAAATTTAATTTTTCAGAACTGAAAATTTTCCAGGAAAAAATGAATAGTTAGTGAATTGGGCGTCCTGATTCCGAGTCTGAAGTGATTTTCGACCTATTTTGACTCCTAATATCATTTTCCGGAAATTGGGTTGGATCCATAGCTGTTGGCGAGCAGTGTATATTACTGAAGATGACCCCACTTGGTCATAGAGTGCATTTTTGGTATATCTCTCGCTCCAGAAAATTTCAGGATCCTTACCCGTTACCACCGATACAACAAGGCCTGCATGCTCCGTGGGTGACGTCACTTAGTGAGGCCTAACCAGCGGCTCGAAACGACAAGCGCTTATAGCGCTATAAGGCGACCGCGTATTTCGATTTTAGTTTTAGATCATCATTGAGCCGATTTTGCTGTTTTTTTGAGGGCTTCCGGTTAAAAAAGGATGCCAGTCGTCAACTGAGCCCTTCTTCGCACCCCATTCGATTTTATTATGGAAAAACGAAGTTTTAAAGCCAAAACCAGGATAAAGCACAAATATCCACCTACAGCAACCCATTCGAATTAAATATATTGGCAAAAATTGTGGTGAAGGTAAACTTCACACCTACTCATACAGGGCCCGCAGAACATAAACTTATCGTGAGATTGATCGAAAGAAAATTGTGGAAAATGTATTTTATTTTGATTGACATGCCGTTTGTTACAATTACCTATATTTATCTTGGAGAATTCCTATTACCTGAATAAATAACCAGTGAGTGTTTTCAATTTTCTGTTGTTGGATTTTTCACCCAAGTGGATCGTTACACTTGAAACCGTAATTTTTAAGGGTAAAACTGCATTTATCATGCGATGGTTTTTTTTGAAAATTTTTTTCGGTACTCACGTATTTTTGTCTGATAAACCGAATTTTATAATGAAAATGTGAACAAACCACTATTTATTGAGATATTTCAAGAAAAAGTTCGAAATTTCGCCTTCTTTCTCCCCTTGTGTTGGGGGCATTTGAAGCTACTTGCTCTTATTTTGTCATTGGACACTTTATATAGTCATGATGTACTTCGATGGCACATTTTTATATAGAAAATTCAACAGGAAATATGATTTTTATGGCGAGTTTTTCATATTTAGTGAACAAGCATTCCAGATGACGATCATTCAATCAATAGTTAATCAAAATACGAGATGTCAAATGTCAATAGATTGCTTTTGAATGACATTACACACGCCATTATTTTAAATGATATTCTTCCTTCTTTTCACTAAATATGGATTAATCCCAAGAAAATCATATTTATAGTTGAATTATATATAAATTGTCCAATATGATGAAAAAAGAAGGGAAATTTGTTCTGAATGCCATCCATAAGATAGGTGAAAAAGAAGGTGAAATTTGGAACTTTTTAGTCAAATATCTTCATGATAAATATCATGATAAATGCAGTTTTTTTTAGTAGAGTGTTTGTAGTTCATGTTAATATGATAGTTGCAATTTGATCATTAGAATGAATTCTGCATTCATTGCCACGAGGCAAATGACCGTTTTCAGAAAGAAATTTGAGAATGAGAATTAAAAATGCCCGTTCATTATGAACATTCAAGAAAATTTCCTCGAATTCAGAGATGATTTTGTTAACTATAATATACGAATACAAAACTAACTGAACAATCAAAGCTTTTCTATTTTTCCTCTACCTATACTTTTTATGAGAGAGTAATTGTCTTCAATTATTAATTCATCATTATAAATTAAGCTCTGTTTACTACTGAACTTAGATACTTAGATGGAGTAAAATCCTCGCGGTGAATTGCATACACCCACATTTTCGATAGCTCCTCGTCCAACGGGAAACTAAAAGCATGAACTTTTGAACCACCCACATAATTCCCCCGACAAAAGGGAACACAACACTTGAGAGGCATTGTTATTTCGCCGATCACAACACAAAATATTTCACAAAACAGTAATTTTTCCGCCAATTATTTTGATGAATAAACAACAAAAGAATTCGGGACCGTTTCAAAAACATACGTGAATCACCGATGAATTAACACGAACTGACGCGTTAGTCGACAAGCGATAAAATAAAACACTGGCCTCTCTTGGTGACGTCACGAGCTGTTTACGTCAGAGTCTGCTGGCCTTGTTGTATCGGTGGTAACGCCTTACCCCCCCGATTACGTAAGATACAGGGGTGTTTCCATTAGAAGTGGGTCACACTGTATAAGCCCGAAACATGTACCTCTATGTGATCGATCTCTGATCGTCAAATAAATGTCGTGGAGATGACTTTTGGTTTCTTCATCTATGGATTCAAACATGTGATACTCACCAATGTTACGAAAAGAAGCTCCCATAACGACGGTCTTATAACCGAATTTCTTATAGTAATTGTAGATCTTAGTGACGGAAATGACCCCAGGGTCGGCTTCCGGCTCGTAAGAAGCCGTACCGGTGTTGGCCACGTACCAATCGAGGATGCGGCCCACGAAAGGCGATATCAGCGTGACGCCAGCTTCTGCGCATGCGACGGCCTGCGCGAAGTTGAACAGAAGCGTCAAGTTGCAATGGACGCCGTGGTCTTTCTCGAGAACCCTACAATGAGGAGCAAGCATTGTTTTTTGTTGTGTGGAAATCAGATTCTTCTTTCATATTCATTAGATCATTCAATCAACTTTATTATTACCATGAAACTATATTGACCAGAAGCGTCAAGTTATTATTATTACTATTAGAATGAATGCTCTGGTCCTTCTCGATGCAATAAGCATAGTTTTTTGTTGTGTCAATATCAGACTTTGCTTTTAGATTCATTCAATCAATGAATCAACTTTATTATTTCCATGAAACAACATTGAACAGAAGCATCAAGTTATTATTATTATTATTATTATTATTATCACAATGGACGCCGTGGTTTTTCTCGAGAACCCCAAATAAGGAGCAAGCATTGTTTTTGTCGTGTCGAGAGCAGATTCTTCTTTCAGATTCATCGGATAAATCAATCAACTTAATAATTCCCATGAAACAACATTAAACAGAAGCGTCAAGTTATTATTATCATTATCATTATTATTATTAAAATGAAGTAAATGGACGCCTTGTTCATTCTCGAGAACCTTGCAAAAAGCATTGTTTTCTGTTGTGTCGAAAGCATATTCTTCTTTCATATTCATTCGACCAATCAATCAACTCTATTATTCCCATGAAACTACATTGAACAGAAGCGTAAAGTTATTACCATTATTATTATTACAATGTATGCCGTGGTCTTTCGCGAGAACCCTGCAATAAGCATAGTTTTTGTTGTGTCAATATCATTTTTGTTCTACAAAAGGGATATCCTGTAATGTTCAGGGAACATCGTGAAAACCCAGGGAAATAAGGTAGGAATTGGTGTTATTCTTGAATTTCTGGAGGCTATATGCCTCGGGGAACACCTCCCTTGGCAATGTGTTCCAGAACCTTGCTGTTTGTTGGATGAACGAGTCTTTGAAAAGAGATGTTCGGCAGGTCTCCAAAGTTACCACGTAGGGGTGCGAAGCCTCAATTCGACGGGTTAATCTCGCGGGGACTGCCAAGGGAGGAACAATAAATTGTTGATATTTCAGAAGAGCATCGTCCATGAGAATATCTATAAACTGGAGCCAGATCGCCAACTTTTCTACGGTGTTCCAGAGAAGTGAGTGAGTTTGTGAGCGAGGCATCACCCACAAGACAGATTGCCTTTTTTGGACAGAATCCAACAGTTTCAGGGTCCCATTTAAATTGGGTCAAAATCGGGTCCAAAGGAGTCGGTTACATACATACATAAGTACATACATACAGGTGAAGCTAATTTGAGCAAGTTAATAAAAAATGAATTAATAAATTCTAATATTTACCTTGCTGCTTGTATACCTTCCCATGTTGAAGCCAGTTTTATCAAGACCCTCTCCTTGGAAATTCCCTCACTTTTGTACAGTTCAATAATTTTTAGTGCTTTTGCGATACTGGCTTCTGTATCAAAGGATAACCTGAAAAAATAACACAGAAGTAAAATAAAAATAAATTGATTGTTTTGAGTTGTGTGGCCAAAATGAACATGTTTAACATGACAATTCATTTAAATATTTTAGGGGAAATGAATTGGCTAGTTCGATGCCATAACCTTTGATTGATCAATTGCAAAATTGACGGTATTTCACATTCTGTCAACTATCGGAAAAGAGTAAAAACAAATGCTCATAGCACCTGTATTGTTGCTCACAAAATAGGAATATCATTGCTCATCCCATTTCTTGTTGGAATCTTAGGTCAATTTGATAAAAGTGACTTGTTTCTGCTGGAACTCTTTAGAAAAGTTAAAAATATCAGTTCAATTTCAAAGGCACCCTAGGAACTGAAGGTAATTCCTGAATGTAACCTAAATAAAAAGACATCCTTTTCAGTAAAGGTTGCTTATCATTCCAATTGTTTAGGATTTTTCTTCAATAAGTATTGATTTTTTACCGTGCGTCTACTTCAGTTGACACCCTCCCTGGAACAATTTTCAGAATTTCGATTCCAAATAGAACACACAGCATGTCCATTGTGTTTTCAAGTTTCTCATCCAAAGTTCCTCCAGTTTTGTTGGCAAAGTGTGCAGCTTTTTCAATCAGAGACTTGTATTGCGGTAAATTGGCTGCCGCCAATATCAGAGAGGGATTTGTGGTGGCATCTGTGGGTTTGAATATTTTCATGGCTGAAAAAAAAAAGAATTTTGAATCATCAGAATCAACTTTGATGAGCCTGGTCTACAGATGCTCCACATGGGTTGATATATGGAAAAATACACTCATGGAAATTTGAAACGAGTCACCCAAAAATGATTCCGATCGCTATGAGCGATTTTAATAAACTTTTTTTGTCCTAATTATTTATTATTGAGCCATATGATGGGGTAGGATAATCCTCTGAGTTGAACAGGAGATTATAAAATAATGTTTATCATTTCAAAAGATAGTGCTAATTGTGCTCAAAAACATGTTTCTCAAAAATCGTTGTTAGCTGTATTCCTTTTAAAATTATAGTGATTGTTGTACACCTTTGTGGAATAGGCAATATATCATGTTTGGGTACAATTAAAAAGCAATTATTAAGAAGAGATAACCATAACTAGAGCACAATCACTTGACAGAAAGAAGTAATATAATAATAATAATAGATAAGTACAGGTACTAGCGGGCATTAGTATCTGGTGGGTCCTCCACGATTTCTAATAACCTCCCGACATCGTCTGGGCATACTGGATATATCATTGTCTATTTGTTCCTGAGGAATTGAACGCCATTCTTCGTGAATCGCATCAACCAATTCGTCAATAATTCTGGGAGGTAATATCCGAGCGTACAAAAGTCGCTTCAAAGCATCCCATATGTGTTCAATTGGATTACAATCCGGAGAGCGGGAGGGCCAAACCATTCTGTTATAATGATGAATTTCGAAAAACTCGTTGACTGTTGCTGCCCTATATGGTCTTGCATTGTCGTCTACATAAATGAAATTGTTGCCCAGTCTGCGGTAAGTTATTCTCCAAAATCTCTAAATAACGGAAGGCACCTTGCTGTTGACAAAAACTGTTTATTCTGTTCGTTCACCTGTGTATACAGTGTGTCCCACTTACCATGCTCACCATGGGTATCTTTTTAACGGTGAGAGATGCGAGGTCGGTTAAATGACACCAAATTTGGAGTTTGTCAAGGCCAACTATGATGTTATAAAATATTTTGATAAAATCTATTCGTTTTTGTTTTATACGCAAAAAACAGATTTTGATCATTTTCATGTCTCCTCCATAACTTCTTTATTTATGAAAATATTCAGATAGGAATTTCACATTCTCAACTCTTCTAGAATTTGAGATATCAGCACCAACTTTAGTTTTTCAAATGTAGGTCATAGCTCACTATGACTTAGTTACAAATAACTTTTTTTTCTCTTGCAGATGATATGTCGCAGTAATAGTTTTGTGTTGATAACAACGGAGTTATCGTCATTTATACAAAAACAAAAAATTATTTGGAAGCCGCCATCTTGAATGAATGAATTTTTGTTAAAATTAAAAAAAATGGCTGCTCCAAGATGGCGGACAAGATTTGGTCCGATTCCATTCAAAATTGGTAAGTGGTGGTTTTTGAAGTCGGAGATCATGATTTTTTTTGTTGAAATTTATAAATTTAAGATGGCGGCTTCCAAATAATTTTTTGTTTTTGTATAAATGACGATGACTCCGTTGTTATCAACACAAAACTATTACTGCGACATATCATCTGCAAGAGAAAAAAAAGTTATTTGTAACTAAGTCATAGTGAGCTATGACCTACAATTGAAAAACTAAAGTTGGTGCTGATATCTCAAATTCTAGAAGAGTTGGTATAAATTTCATATTTTTTTCGAAATCACTTTGAAAAACTGCCATGAGAATGTGAAATTCCTATCTAAATATTTTCATAAATAAAGAAGTTACGGAGGAGACATGAGAATGATCAAAATCTGTTTTTTGCGTATAAAACAAAAACGAATGGATTTTATCAAAATATTTTTTCACATTATAGTTGTCCTTGACAAACTCCACATTTGGTGTCATTCAACCGACCTCGTATCTCTCACCGTTAAAAAGATACCCATGGTGAGCATGGTAAGTGGGACACACTGTATTCCTTCCTCCCCGCACTGTTACAGAGCCACCACCAAATGGGATTCTATTCTGTTCTGCGCCACACACGAATCCGATTATCGTCGGGGTGGAGTGCAACTCTTGATTCATCAGCAAATAAACACTGTGACCATTCGGGTAAACCCCAGTTAACGTGTTCCTCAGATCGCGATCATCTATAGTCTCTTAATGACTGGGGATGCCTCTAGGGATGCCTATATGGCCGTCGTGAATTTAAATTAACAGCATGTAAGCGATCTCGGATGGTTTTTGTAGAATAGTTTACATTTTCTGTTACCTGGACTTGAGTTTTAGGTTTTGTAGATGTAATAGTTCTATCGTTGAGAGCTTGATGTACAATGTAACGGTCGATCCTAGGAGTAGTTGACAGAACCAGTGTTTTGATATCTGCACCATGCCCTTGATAATGCACTTTGATGAATATGCACTCTTTCAGCCACAATTCTTTGTGATATGCCACTTTCCAGCAAACCAATTGCTCGAATGAGTTCGTGAGCGTTATATCTAGGCATTGTGACGATAAAAGTATCACCCTTTTCTCAAATAAAAATCTTTTCATTAGAATATTGTTTATTGTGAGATGCGTTTTTGTTTCAAAGCCAACTTGAATAATTTAAAGAATTAACAACCGTAAAATCATTCATATGCAAGTGTTTAGAAAAATCGCGATTTTCGATTTTCTCAAGCTCATTTAGGACCATCCATTGAGAGATGTAGTTGAATTTCGTGTGAAAATCACTTGTGCATGAATCACTCGGTACATTATCTTCAGTAATGTTTCATGACGAATAATCTGCCCAATCATATGGCTAAATAATGAATTATCAAGGCAGAAAAAGTGTATCTAAATCGCTTGTAGAGATCAAAAATTATTCACATACAAATATAATGACAATTTTGTGTGAGTCATTTCAAATTTCCATGAGCGTATTATAGTTTTGAAACTAGGCACACTTGTTTTCTCGGCAATATATAGGAAACGGTTAGTTCTACTCCAATAATAGCCTATACAAATATTAAAGGTCAGAAAAGTTACTGAAAAACAACACTTTTCCAGATGAGCGTAGTCTACAGAAGCTCCACATGGGCTGATATATGGATTAATGTCATAGCTTTGAAACTAAGCAAACTATTTTCAGCATTATCTCAGAAATGTTTCATTAAAGTCCCCAAATTGTTTATACAAATATAAAAGCTTGCAAATTTTACTCGTGTTTTGATTTTTTTTCTAAATTCTGAAAGAGGGGGCTGTGAAGTTGATTCTTGTCCGACAAATTATTGTGAGATATACAGATTATCATAGACCGTCAGAGGAATTCATTGATGTAAAATAGTTTCATTCGGCAGAACCGAACTCGCCACTACAAGGAAAATATTAGAGAAGGTGCAAAAATTGGCATGTCTTTGCATAACAGGAGCAATGAGATCAGCTCCAACAGCAGCACTAGAGGTCATTTTGGATCTCACACCTCTACACATCGTGGTGAGGAGAACTGCCTTTGGAGCTCATCTCAGGTTAGCCAAGGTCGGACTAAGAGGGAAAACGCACAGAGCAAGAGGCTCACCCCCCACTGAGATCGCACACCTCGCCGATCTTCCAACAGACCAAATCATTAGGAAGTTCAGTTTTGAGAAGAACTTCCGAGTGGAGCTGAGCAACAAGCGCGAATGAAGCACAGAATCCATCGAATCACTGGGGAGGAACACCATTACCTGGTATACGGACGGGTCTAAAACACCGGAGGGAACTGGAGCAGGAGTCTTTGGGCCTCGCACCAAATACTTCGAATCCATGGGACAATTCCCCAGCATTTTTCAAGCGGAAATACACGCCATAGGAAGATGCATCCAGTTCAACCTAGACAGGAAATACCGGAAGAAGGACATCGCGATTTTATCCGATAGCCAAGCAGCCATCAGAGCGTTGAGCTCTCCTTACATCAACTCGAAGATGGTATGGGAATGCCTAAGCAAATTGAATGAGCTAGGCAGCAACAATAAAGTGATCCTCCTCTGGGTGCCAGGGCATATTGGAGTGGAGGGAAATGAACAAGCAGACACTCTGGCACGACAAGGTGCTTCAACGCCACTGATCGGACCAGAGCCATTCTGCGGCCTTGGAAATTCCTATTTCCAAGGAGAACTTGAAAAGGCGGAAGGAGCCTGGAGAGCCAGACAATGGAGAAGACTTCCAGGACTACGGCAGGCTAAAGATCTCCTTGGAAATTTCAACCGAGAAAGATCTAAGACACTGACAAACCTCAGCAAAGGAAGTCTCAAAGCAATAACGGGATTTCTAACGGGGCATTGCAGACTCAAAGAACACCTAAGGAAGCTAGGCTTACAGGAGGACGGCACCTGCAGATTCTGTGAGGAAGAACCAGAAACACCCCATCACATACTGATGGAGTGTGACGCTGTACATCACAAAAGATTGAACATACTGGGAACACACCAGCTGACTGTGGAAGAAATACCACAGCTAGACCCCCTCAAAATCCTCAAATTCCTGACGGAATTGAATCTCGAGGGGCTGCTATGAACAAGAAATCCTTGATATAGCAGAAGCAGATGGGTCACAATAGATCTAATTGGGTCGCAGTGCATCTGTCACCATCCAACCTACCAATACCAATACCAAAATATCCAAAAATCCATGGACATATTTTGGAGGTTTAAGTAATTTCATGGCCAGCCATGAATATAAATTAATAATGAACGACCATTGGTGATATGGCGCGCGCCTTGAATATTAGGCGAAGTCGTGGCTGGTTTCACACTGATAATAATGCCACGGTAATTTTCAAACGGCTAGAAATTTACGGCGAGTAAAAACTGACGTCACGATTTCATAAGTAGGCGCAGACCATAGCACAGTTGCCATTGGTTAAAATACGATTGGGAACTTCAGATATATTGGTTATTCAATAATTCATAAATTCTTAATAATGTATTGGTAATATTCCTAATTGAGTATCAATAAAAAATCAATTGCCTTAAAATGTTCCTTCATGTGTTGTGGCTTA